GTCTTAGTGTTTAAAAACTAAAGCGAGAGTTAGCCTTCAGGTGAAGGGAAGTGGGAGCTCTGGAGTGGGAGCCAGTATCCTCCTAGCTTAGCCACGGATTTAGGGACTAAACTTGGGATTAGCCAATGATTTTCTATAACATTGTATCAGAGCAAAAAATTAAAATTGCTCCCATTTGACACAATACATAATTGAACAATTTATCATCTCATCTCATTTTGCCAAAATCTCACTGTAGTGGGAAAGATGCTTTTTCACATAAGAAATCTTCATCACATAAACATAGTTTAATAGTTTAATAATTTAGTAATTACTGTTTAAACTTTGTATTTTAGTTTTGTTATTAGTTAAATAATTTAGTTCTGATAATTTTTCAACATTTGAAATTAGTGACAGTAATTTCGTATTGACTTTCTGTGAATTTTCTAGTAAATTTATCATTTCAAATTTAAGCATTCCCAGTGGGATCGATATTTGAAGCTTAAACAGAAAGTCTTTTATTACTTGATAAAGATACGTATACTTGCGTAGAATCCCAACATTAATTGCTTAAATCTTAAATTTTGCTTAAATTTCCTATTCATAAAATATTGCATCAAGCTTTTGGCATCGTTGCATAGCAGAGTCAACTATATAATTTTTACAAACTATATTTTCAGGGATTAAGTTTTTGGCGCCGTTGTCGGGAAAGGTAACGGTAAATTAAGTAGATTTGGTAAATTAGAAAAATTAGAGATAGTTATATAAAAAATCAAAAAAATTCAAAAATTCAAAATCCAAAAAGAAAATATATTTTTATTTAAGAGTTATTTTTTAAAAAAAAATCTTTGCTTATTATAAAAAAAAGGTCATTGAGTTTAAAATCAGTAAGAAAATGTATTCACCCTGAAATTTTTTCCTAAACCTATTTTATTTAGAAACTGAAAGAATAAAAACAAATGCACAGGCACATTATACACAAAAACTTACCCATACCCAATGGTTCGTATGCTTTAAACAGGCAGACCAATCTTAAAATAAAGGAAAGAGAAGGGACGGTAAATACCTTCTCGACACGTGATGTTGCTTCTAATTCATTTGAGCTTAAACTTGATATTATTCAAATGGTACAAAATAATCAGTTTGGAGGAACACATACAACACATACTG